AATTTTCCAATTTACTCCCAACCAACCAACTGCCTCTAAAGAAGTTTCACTTCAAAACATCTTTCGAGAAAACTGATTTACTCGAGCCAAAAAATATATTCGAGAAATTTAATTTCTCGAGTTCGTCTCGAATTCGATACGATGCCACCCTCGGTTTTTTTGTTGTTTATTGGGTTTCTATTACTGCAACAACTTCCACATTAAAATTATGCAACACAAGCTGCGATGCAGCTGCTAAGATGCATGCAATGCGAAACTTACGACACAAACTTCAAATGTGGTGCGGGATGTTAAAAACTGTGTTTGTCAATAAAAACAACAAAAACTATTACACAGCTAGCAGCATAACTTTCACATTCGTCTACCATCTACTGAGCGATGTGACTTGCAGACAACCGGTCTTTGAATTTACGTACACTTTTTGGTTTTTTATAAAATATTTCGAAATTGGAAAAAACCATGTACATCAAAAATATTATGACCTTTCATTCCATAAAGTTAGTTCCTTAAGTATAAATAAATATATAAAGTAAAGTGATGCAGTGCCTAAGGCCATAAAAAAGTAGTATAATGTCTAACATACATACATATCTTGAAAGTGGTCGCTTATGTTCAGATTATCTCCATCCAAAGTGGTTTCACACGATCAGCCCAATACTTAATACTCCCGGGGAGATCGTTCTCCGAGAATTTGTTTCCCCCAAAAAAGCAGTCCTCTAATAATTAATTCCCAGGGAGTAGCATTTTCCCGAACATTTGGGAGGAGGAAATTTGAATTTCGAAAAAGCTGTTTGACAAGTTTTTGACACCTCAACTCCGACCTTTAATATAAAAAATCGTCAGGGAATTTTTATTAATGATAGGAGGAAAGGAGAAAAAGAGAAAACTCCCAGGGAGTTTCTGTTCAGAATCGGCCTATAGATGCCACTTTTTAAATATGGAAAGGCAGCATACCGTGTAAACACGAATAAAACACAAAGCAGAGACAGGGTCATCTGTTGGGTTTATTTCGTTTTCAAAGAACGTAATTTTATATGCTATAAATTTAACAGACAGATACAAATATACTAACGACCAAGGTTAGAGCTACGACAAGCCCAAATCGGAGTAAATAACATGAAAAATCGCAGCAGAAAATAAAATTCTGTAATAGATTTTTATACATCGTTCGTTTACATACATATATTTAGATATACAAACATATATAATAAAAATACGAAAATTTAGTTAATTATTTTTAAAAAACTTATTTATGTCATAAATTAAAAATTACACATGCCTGCGAAATTTAACTGTATTTGCCCCTTCCGATAATTATGGACCTCTAGCAATACATCGGTGAAAACTGCATTCAAATCCATGCATTCGTTTTCGAGTGATGCGCGTGCAAACATACAGACAGACAGGCAGACAAATATTCTAAAAATGGTTGATAAAGACCCCCCACATACATTTTTCTTTAATATGTATAATGTACAGACATCGACCTGTTACAATTTTATTGCATATATGTACAGATTACTACAATAAATATGCATACATGTCTGTTGTTTTTACATAGTAAAAAGTATATTATTTAATTGTCCATTGCAGCAAAATCGGTGAAAGACGAATTTTTAGGAGGGGATCAAAAAACGAAAATAACTGCAATGTTTGTTCCGGCCAAATCAAACAAGTTGATGATTCCAACAGGTAAGCAATTGTGTGAGATTATTTCTTCTATATTTTTTTTTGTGGCAACTGCTAATTTGGTTTTGTGTGCCCCTTGCAACTACTAATTGAATGTACATATCGCTCGTTTGCTGGAAAACGTGAAAAAATTAAAAATCGGAGAAAACTGGTTTCAAATTATTTTTTCCATTTGGAAATCAAACAAAAATACATACAATAATTATAATCATAAAATTTAACTCGGAGGTTCCTTATCGCCTGTTAATAAATTGCCTCATGTAAATGCATCTTTAGCTTAGCATTAGAGTAGGCTAGTGTGCCAATAGCCCAGCCCGCAGAGAAACGTAAATTTTGGCGACAGTGCGGTCTCGTACAATTCGCCGTATCCGGAAACTTACAGAAACCGACCACAATTTTCGTTCATTTAGGTATCCAAAAACGTTCGACGCGTTCGAATAGATGAAAGCAATAATTGTATGTAAAAGGGTCAAGAAACAAATTGCCATTATTTCGCGTGTGTGTCCAAGGAATTTTGACATTTTTTATACCTCACAGCCTGTTGCCTCACTCTTTCCTCAAGAAATAATGGAACGGGCATATATTTCTGTTGCAAACCTGGGTTGCCTTGTGCTCTTTTTTCACAAAAAACTTTNAGAAAGCGTAGCAAATTTCTTAAGAACTGCGTACTGCCTCAAGAAAATTTCTTAGCCATTTCGTGTACGTCATTCTATATGGAGTTTTTGCTTTTCTTGAGAGCTGCATACTGGCATTTAAGCTGAACATTTGAAAGCATCTATACAACGGCAGTGACTGAAGGTGCAGAGGAGTTTGCCTGTTTGTTAGTTTTCAGAAGGTGCCGGGTTCGAATTCCGTCAGGCGCTTTCTTAATTTTTTATTTTATTTTTTTTTTCGAACCATGAAAAAGCATCTGCGAAGTGAGAAGAGCGTATCGAACTAAAATTTCAATCAGACGAATTTCAGAAAACAGCCAAAAGCGTATCCGTTTAAAAACAATTATCGGTACTTGTCTGTACATACATACGTTTCTGCCGCACACTTTAGTGGAAAAACGGATCGTCAAAGTATCCGAAAACGGAATCGGTAAGCGGACAAAAATCCGCATTTCATCCACTCTTTTTCATTTTTCGAATGCATTTCGGATCGGATTTGATTTGCATTGGAAAAAACTCGAAATTGTGTGCGTTACATAAAAAAATTTTTTTTTTGTTTCTAAAATCACGAATCAAATTTATTTTTTCGGCAAATCAGCGCTTAGCATTCCAATTTAGATATGGCTGTATTAGTAAAAAAAATTTAAAAAATCGGACAATAACCACGCCCACATCTCATATAACGGTAATTTAGAGAAATACAAAATCTTCGATAAATCAGTAAATATTAAAGCAAATTTATTCAAAATTGATGCTTGCAACAATTCTTTACCAAGAAATACGTTAAGGGTATGGGCGTGGCACCGCCCACTTATGATCACATATATGTATCTCGCTAACCGTTCTAGCAATTTGTACCAAGCAAAACGTTGAAAATTGTGGAAATCGGACTAAAATTACGGCCGCTTTTCATATAACGGTAAATTTCAGAAATGCTTGAAACTTCAATATTTCGAAATTTAAGGACGCTAATTTACTCAAAATTGATACACCCCGGCTTACCATCTAGCGGTAGCTTTCGGAAAGTTTAAAAAACATATATTTAATACTTGCGCCGGGTATTTAATGTTCGGCTCCACCCGAACTTAGACTTTCTTACTTGTTTGAGTTGTAATAGTGCTTTTAGTAAATGGCCGAAAGGCACACACAACTTGATATATTCCATTCCAAAAGCGACGGGCATAGACCTCTGCTAAATTTCATCTAGCCCTCTGATAACCTTTTAACTTTTTCTTATAATTTTAAGCTTTGTCACGTGTTACTTATGCAACAGAAGAATATGTCGTGGTGCGAATTGCTCGATTTGGTTGGCGAAATCGGGACAATGGGAATGCCAATTATGTAACTCCTCGAAGGAGTCGCTAGCACATACTCAGTCTTGGGTTGCCGAGCAAATGAGCTTCAATCATCAGAAGCTTGTTAGTCCTCTGAGAGCGCGAAGTGAAATTTACATACCGATTGGCGATTTTAATGAAAGTTCCATACGTAAGTATAGCAAAAAGCTACAAGCTTTTGTTTCCCGAACAAGTAAATAAAGCACACAAGCAAATATTGAAACTGTATATTTCTAATAGATTTTTACTTAATTGCAGATTTTGAAAGTGTTAGCCAAGTGGGTATGAATCTTGATGTCATCCCCGCCGAGCAAAAGCTTAAAATACGAGAGTATGTGGAGGAAGTGGTGGCCAAGCTGTTGGGTGGTTCACTGGATCAAATACGCGTCAATCAATTGTCGAAAAGTGAGACTTGTAAGTATATGCATGTATTGGAATTGGATTTTTTAGTTCACTTTAAAGATTAGTTCACTTATAGTGCGTTCAGCTCAATGAACTAGCTCTTCTGAGTCTTTGATCGTTCACCTAATTGAACTATAGTTCACCTAATTGAACTAGTTCGGTAGTAGGAACTGAGTTACAAAACAACAAAAATGCATGTTTTATAACACATATGTACATAATAGAATGCAATAACGACACAATCCAGTCGTCTTCATTCATTCGTCTTTCTCCAAAATCACGAAAGGATTTTTATAGAAATTCGGCAGTGTCTTCATTTAATTTTCTTTTATTCAATTTTGCCTTCGAAATGCGAGAAAATTGCGCATCGCTTTTACATCTGAAAGATAAAGTCTTTTGTTAAACAACAAATCTCAAAAACTCAACAAAAATACTTACTCTTTAACGCAAATTGCACTAAACGATGTAAAACATTGAAAATTAAATGAAATAAAATGTCTTTTTAGCGCGAATTCCGATTAGCTGTTTATTTATGCCCTTCCAACGATATGTGTTGTAAAATTACATTCCCATTTTTATTGGAGTGTTGCCACAGAAAGCTTTGGTTCACTTTAATGATCGAACTAATGAACTAGTTCAATTTAAAGATCTGGCTCTTCCGCTCTTTAGTTCAAAAGCTCCCCAAGCCTAGTATGTATGTATGTGATTACAGATTATCTGTATTTAGCATAATTTTAAGATATTTCATACACACACGTCACCGAACTCCGACATACTATACATATCTTTAGTAGGTATAGTTTAGAAAGGGCGTAACTCAACATCGTCGCTGAAATACAAAAAGCCCTAACTAAAAATGCAAAATTCACTTGATTGATTGATTATTGTGATAAGCAATAAAAAATTTTAATTAGTTCTGTTTTTTTTTTTTGCATTGAGCGACGATGTGAGATACGCGTTTCCATACCATACTTATACCATACTATGCCTGGTATTCATTACCCTCTGTCTTCAATTTTCACAAAAATCGACACTGATGATATAAGGTCTTGTTAGAAGCATTTACTATTGGATTACAAAGTTAAAATGTGGTCAGAGTTAAGTCCCAGATGGGTTCTAACATCAGGGAGTTGTTTTTGTGAAAAGTGTAGATAATTAGAGTATTCACACTTTCACATTTTTTTCGTTAACTATACATATATAAAAATATACTGGATTCTATATCATAAACCATATAAATCTATGTTCACAACTTTGTGCAAAATTTACGAAAATTTTACAAATTTCAAAAAAAAAAATTATCAAAATTTTAAACTTTTTATTCATAAAATCTACTTTTATATGAAATAAAATGCGCAAGACCCTCGAAAAAAGATTTCAAAAATCAACGGTATTTTCAGAATTTTATAACTTCCACTTTATTATCCCGAAATTGAATAGGCTACAAAACTGCATACCTAAGAAGTTTTTAAAAATTCTGAGAAAGCGAATAATTTTAATGGCATTTTTTTAAATTTGTTAAACTTTTTTGAATTGTGCACAAAGTTTTAAATTTTGACTTTCTGCTATATATTTATTAAATATTAAGGAAAAAAATTATTACGTAAAACATTGTGAATATTGTAAAAAAGAAAAGTGTGCCATTTACGTACATACAATGTATTTTATTGCTACGCCTACATGTTTTTAATTATTTGTTTTAATTTGGAAACGCTGAAAGTATCGCTTGAGAGACTTGCCATTGTATACTTTATATTTAGAAGAAAGTTGAATAAAATATTTTCATTTTATTTGTTCCCGAATAAATTACTTACTTCATGAACTACTCAACTCTAATACAAATGAGTTTTCTAATGTATCTCACCTCTCGTTTTAAATATTCACATATGGACATGGACCATACAGACTTACAGCTCTTTGAGCGATATCACTCAAAATTGAGTAACATTTTTATCAACTTGGAAAATGAGTTGAGCAATAAAGCTCTTAATGGAGGTGAGTTTGCTGGTAAAAGTTTTCCAAGAAGCTTTTTAAACCAGTTCTCTATTATAACTATTTAAAGCGTATTTCGAATTTTGATGCTTGCGATCGATTGAGGATGCTTCCAAAGTTATGCATTGCTCCAATGAATAATAGCATGCTTTCGTTAATTGTAAATTATTTAAATGTAGCTGATTTGCATGTAATTTACTCGTATTACACTTGCTGGCTGGCTGGCTGGCCGTATATGTAGCCATTAGGTGACACTTCGTATGGCTAAGTATTAATTATACGCCAAGGCACACCCTCTTTGCTGTGTGATAGGCTGGAATTATTTTGCGGAGTTTTGTTGTGGAAATTCAACTGGGATTTCATACCAAAAGACCTTCGTTGTATTATCGCTCGTATCTGCGAAATGATGAGGTGTTGCTGAACTAAATTAAATTTACTTGCTCTGCCATAAAATTAATAGAAAATAAGTAATAATAGTTGAATCTCAAATACATACATACTTATGTATTTCTAGTAAATTCAGTTAGAATACCACTCAAAACATTTAAAGTAAATCAACCCTTTAGCTCTTTGTGGAACGTTTGAACTATCACACATTTCATATATACATAGTGGCCATATTTACACACGTACATATGTAAATTAGACAATTTCTGCAGCAAGGAAAATGAATGGAAATTTTCCATTTGGACGTAATGTAGAAACATTCATCTTCGTTGCTTAAGCAGGGCAAACACGATTTGTATATTTGTACTGATTTGTACATTTGACAGTTACAGAGTGGGTTTGCTTGGACATTGAAAAATATTGGGCCTCTTGCATAAAAAATGAGCTTTCAGTACAAATTATTCAGCTTACGCTCACTCCATCAGTGAAAAAGTCGAGTCTGAGCTTAAGCTCACCTTTTATGCATGAGGCCCATTGTTTCAACTCCCCCTCTTAAAGAAAGTGTGAGGAAGTTTACTGAGGAGCTTTGCCCGCGCATTACATGGATAGCGAGGAGGAAAGCTGCCCACTAATATCATCGTATGTAAAAAATTAAATTAACTGTCTGACGAAAGCTAATGTTTCCATGATTCCTTGGAAACTGTACAGCATGCATGGAGGAATGTTTCCCTTTCCTAAAGGGATATGTCGGAACTAAATACTAATAAGGCATTCGCTCACTCAGTAATGGGGAAAAGATTGTCGTTTGTTAATTTCGGCTGGTTGTGGGAGATCGCGATTGAAGTTTGGAATGCAATTTCTCAAAAACGCAAAGTCCCAAGTCTCTAAAAATATTACTAGTTCACAAAATTCGTAAATTATTTAATTTTTAATGTTAATTATTAATTAGTTTTGAATTTATGAAGGATTTCCTTTAGTAAAATTTTGCCATAAGCGTCATTTGTCCACAATTTGGCAGCCACTTTGTATGAAATGCGAAAAATTGTGATCAAAATTTCTACTAAATTAACGACACTTTTTACTCAATATCTCGGAAACTAAAGGAGATATGCGAAGACTGATAACACCAATCGAAAGACCTTATGTAAAAATATATAACTGCATCTAGAACTAAAAATCGTCAAAATTGCGCTTACGACAATCTTTTCCCCAGGCGACGATGTGGGTTACTAACACCTTTGCGTTTATGTTTGCTTTTCGGTCACGCTGAGTTTGCCGGGTATACGCATGCGTACGTTTGACAGATAAGTAGAATATACAAGGTCTTATGACAGCAGCTAAGTTGAACCTACGTATGAAACGTATTTTGACTTCCATCCGAAAATTTCAAACGCACTCATATAAATATACATACATATACCTACATTCGCATGCTATAGAGGACCGCTTTTGCAGATACTTTCTCAGTTTTAAGATTTTAATATTAAATTTACATTGAATGAAAGGCTATTGCATAAATAAATATATGAAGGTAATACGTATATACCTTGAATTTCTTTCGACATTTGGTTTACTTTACAAAGGAAAGAACAAAAAACTCGAATCTAAAAATCTACGGGTACAAAAGCAAATAGCAAATGAGAAACATTTATTTCAAGAAATTGACTCTTGTAAAACTTTCAGAGGCAAAAGAAATTTAATAGAATTTTTCTCATCATTGTAAATGGATTCCGATGGCTTTTCGCATTTTTGTTGAGTCGATTTTTATTCTTTAAATTGATTAATTACTTGGTATAAGTGCAGAATACGTACATTTCTCTGATTAAAAATAAATTTATATTTCGATCGATAGAGGTGTTAGTCCTAATCATAACGGTATTACTGGCGTCATTGAAGGTCAAGGAATCAATTTCTCAATTTCTCTTAATTGGAATAACTAAAAAAAAGGAACAGTCCAGCGCCTTCGTCTCCGATACAGCCGCTATATTTAAACGTAGAATACGTGGTATGGTTA